AGTGGTCTAGTGTTTAAGTACTGACGCTCGAAACCAGTAGGTCCCGAATTCGAATCTCGCAGAGAGCGAGTTCGTGGATGCACGGTGTTGAGGAGTCCCACAATAGGACGAAACGGCCGTCCAGTGCTCCCAGGTTTTCCATGGTTGTCTAGCTTCAACTGACTTATGATATTAACCACTGAAATTATAACGTAATCCTTGAATAGAGGGTAAATAGAGATCAATGTGAGTTAAGCTAAGAATTTGTCCTTTATGTGAGTACATCCCGACACAAGTATATGTCTAACGTGGTACACAAAACTGATATAATTATGAAAATCTAGCAGAAAGAAGTAACCGTGCATGATACAGCAAGTTATTAAAAGTCAATCGGTATTTTGTGAGACATTTAGTGATGTTCTGAGAAACTTAGAACAACTAAAAGATTTTATGACTTTTACTACAAAAATACGATCCAAATATCTCGACAATGTTTTGATACGGCAGAGTAAGTTGATACATTTAAACCGTTCCTAAGACAAGTGGTATGGATCCAACCTATATTAAAAACATGGGAAAATGGCCGTGGATATTGTACCAACATAACTAAAAAGCTGTCATCTGCTTTAACTTATCATGATTGATAATGACGTCGATGGACGTCTAGTTATGCAAGTCCGGTCCAAAAGAATTATAACGAGGACCATATTATTCTAGTATTAAGAGCGATCTCCAACAACGCAAACATAGACCCGAAGAAGGCAATAATCACAATTGATTGATCACTTGGTGGTGATCAATGTAATGTATGTCAAATCCTTCTTAGTGCAGATCATATGCCATCGACCAAGGGTGATAATTTTTTAGTACCACCAATGGAAGTTTGAAGGATTGATATCAGACGCTTACAAGTTATTCATCTTGATTTGTTTTTTTTATGATTACAGTCCAAAGGCAATACCGGGGGCTCTTTTGAAAAACTCACACTAATCGCCACCCTTAATTGATCCCAGATTGGAAGCCATAACTCAAAGATAATCACCGTGAAAATGTCCACATACTCTCAAATCACGGCCCAGGAGTTAGTAATACCCGACATATCTTTATTTCAGGACCACGGAAAAAAGTGGGATGGGAGGTGCAGCAGCCCTGTATCTATGATCTTGCCCAATAGCATATCAAGCGTGGAACCCTGATGAATCTGCATGATGATCACTGAGATTGTCTAACACCTCAAGATGTCTAGCTGGCATCATCTGGACTATGCCTATCGCTAACGCTAGGTATGGTGATAGTAGTTTGGAAGGGTCATTCCACTCTTTTCTTCTCGAGTACACTCAAATCCTGGATTTTAAGGACTTTAGTTTTTCCAACATCAACAGATACGATTAAGGTGGTAACTGTGCTGAAACTTGTTTACTCAACCTTATTGGAGAGTTGAACTTGTTCGGAAATGTGTGGTAACTTGGTGGAGAAACAGTCGGACTTGGTCACGTTTGGCCTGCATCATTGTAAGCGAAGAATCCCTCGTTGAAAACCTCTTGATACTGCGTTTACTGGTAAAATGTGACCAATCCGTCATATCCTGCAAGTCTATAGGCGTAGAACATCTTATCAACAATAACCATCGAAAGTTCAAACGTTTGGACGAGTAAGCACAATCTACTGAATGTGGATTGGGAAGTGTGCCTCCAGTTGGATGTGGAAGCACACTAAGGTTTCTTAATACACAAAATATTGTGTGCCACAAACCACTCCATTACCCAAACGGTTCATGAAAGTTGAGAGCAACGTACAGACATAAAGGACCTCATTTTCGGAAGGTATCGTTTGGGGAATGCACATGAACTCGTTACAATAGGACATGGACATTTCAAACAAGCAAGGAGCCAATCCAAGAAGGCAATAAACGAAAGAAAGACCCAATATCATATCGTACTAATTGACTAATTTGTCTCTAGTTTAAGAACCGTAAACTGGAGTTTCCTAGTTGTTATATACTAATGTCCAACCAAGAGCGACGGCGATGCCTTAGTGCTCCTGGAAGAATAGTGCTTTCATATGTTTAGACTGCCACATACAGACTGCATCGAAAAGAGCTTCAAATGCATTTTAAAAGGAACCTGACAGCTAGATTTGTGTATCATTAACTGCAGCATCTAAACAAGGACAATTCTCCTGGCCTGCATGTGATAAAATCTGAGAGAAGATACTTTTATCTTGGCAATACACCTAGCGCTATGTTCTTACAATCCCTTATTCGAGTCACAGTCCCAGACGACTGGAAGCTGAAGCACATCTTAACAATCTTAAAAGGACCTTCGAGCAACTGGTAAGAAGCATCTCATTCAATACCTTTGAAAGTTGTGAAGTCTGACAAATGACAGTCTACGTCTTTATATCTCAACTACGGGCTTCTGGAAGGGTCACTCCTCGATAATCAACTTCTGACCTCAGTGGACAGACGGAAAATCACCCATGATCTCAAGGGGAAGGTTTATGTCATATACTTTGACTTCTCAAAAGCGTTCTATGGAGTGGATCAACAAGCTCAAACTGTCAGGTTTCTAGTCACTTAATAGAATGGTTCACTTTGAATCTAAGTAATCAACTTTTCACGGTCCGAATGAAATTTACTTATTCTTGGACCACGCGATGTTCTGATGGGAACCGCCAAAACTCGGTACTAGAAACTTTTTTACCTTTGATTTTTATGTGGATGACCGTTCTGAGCAAGTATATTCTGATTTACAGCTTTTCGCGGATATACTAGTATCTAACTTTGTAAGTGTCCGACTTAAAGCCCATAGGGCTCCACACCTCTTAGTTGCAACGATGGGCTGTGGTCTTAACGCCATGACTCAATGCCACCCCAAGACCCTTGGGAGACCAGACCACGGGTACAGGCGCTTCTCCTATGCTGTACCTATCTACCTTTGTATCCCCGAAGTGCGTGTGGACATATTTGGCCACCTTTTAGACCAGCTGATCAGAACATGTAAGTCCACCTGAAGTGTGCATGCATCTGCGACTCCTGTTGTTCCTCGCTGGGTTTTTATATCATCAGTGTGTAGTAGTATTGGGGGCTCAACTGTACTAAGGAGATCATTTACATACAGTATAAAAAGTAAAGGACCTAGGACAGAACCTTGAGGTACTAGGCTATTATATTGTACCACATAGCTCGTTATAGTAAGGAAAAACGACAAGACACTTCCGAACATGTCAAGCTGTCATAGGAGTGTTTACCAATGACAAACTAGTTGGGTTTAGACTTCAGGTCGGCAACGTTTAGGGTCATTACTACTCCATCAGTTGGGGAGTGATCTGTAGCGGTAAATAAATCTCCCAAATAAATAGCTCTGTAAGTCTTCTTGACATTTGATGCTGACCACATTAGTTTTAATTGACTCACCTAGCTGAAGGCGCTTGGTTGTGCATCCGCACCGAATCAAGAGCGGGGACGCCGTGCTCAACATCCCATGCAATCGCCAGCCAGTCTAGATCAGCCATTTCTCGATATATTGATAACCTATCAAATATATCTTCGGACCTTCTCGCTTCTGTCTTTTGATTTAACTTGGTGGGTACGATTTCCGGCTTTAATAGTTATATATTTTTCGGCACTATAAAAGATACTCTGCTGATGTCTATGTAGACGATATCCACTGATTTCGAGTGCGGTTTATCCGATCCTGTTGATTTTTTCGTTTCTAAAGTGGTAAGGGCTGTCAGTAAAATCGTCTTGATTGAAGTCCACTGTGAGCAGCCGGTTATGTGACTTTGTATTTGGGTCTAGTTCTTCGTCTAGAAAAAGGTCCGTAGTGAAAGCTGCCCCAAAATTGTTCGCCATAGCCTTTGCTTTGTCCTGATCATCGTCTATCATTTAAGATGTACTCCGCTCAATACTTATGTAGGGAATACAATGATGCATGCATGTTCCGTAATTTACGTACGAGAACAGTACCTTCGGCTGCTTCATTACAGATTATGCTTAATGCTTTTCATATTTTTGCCCTGCTGTCTTGATTGTGATAATAGACTTGTTTCGGATCGACCTGTGGCGTCCCATCGTATTTGTTATTCCAAGACTGATGGTGAAGTCCCAATATTTCTTTTGTCTTAGTAAATGTCAAATATCTCTGTCTATCCAAGGATAGCCGTATTTCTTGTTTGGGACTGTCCAGGGTATAAATGGTTGAGACACTTGGTTGTATAACTGCCTGAAATGAGTCCATGCCTCTTCTGCTGATGTTGCTGAGTCAATTTTCCAGTGTACGGGCGAGGCTGCAAAGTTTACCGCCTTCATGTCTGCCTTCCATATGTTAGGACGTGGCGTCGCAACTGCTTCACAGGTAATCTCAGCCATGGACTTGGATAAGACGATCACATGCTCACTCTTCCACAAAGGTGGGGGAGGAAGTCACTTGGCTGACATCATCTCCGTATATGAAGAATAAGTCCAAGAGGGACGAAGAGTTTTGTAGGTCATATCTGGTGGGATCTCCAATGTGCCGGAACAAAGCTAGGGTGAGTATGGTTTCTAACAATTTGTAATCAAACTATGCATTTGATGACTCAGAACTAACAAACCAAATTTATTCGATCAGGTCAGACTACGTTCTTCTTAATAGCGCACGAAGCGTTTTTGGGTGACACGAACTGCGTCCAATCTAAACAGTTCCAATTTGGAAAAGATACAGAAATTCGTTAAGCGGGAGCTTCTGCTTTTTTGTACACGACAACATAAACTGTGTAGACCGCGTTTCTCAATGTAAACGTTGCACTTAGGCGTTGTGTATCCTCGCTTTGTTCCACATTTTTTGTACATTATAATAACATGTTTCGAAAAAAATTTTGAGTCCCAAATCAAAAGATCCTTAATCAAATCAAGGGAAGTGATTATGAGTGTTGTAACCACCATTGGGTTACCACCTCACGTAACTGGGTTAAAGCTACTTTAAGTAGTATATTAGTTTGTGGCTTCCGTTTTTGTGGAATCCAAAAAGTATGCTGTCTAAATCCTACTTTACAATACTTAAACGTAAGTTACTACAAAACCGTACAACGTTAGCCGTGAAATTCAAAATGTAGTTGAAATACCAAACTAAATTTTTATTTTCCTATTAATCCTCCTTGGTTAGGTGTGTAATACATGTGTAGTATCTGGAAGTTTACCCCTGGGCTCACTTAGGGTTTAGGAGTATTTAGCATTCTGGTTTAAGCAAACCATTCGTACTCATGAGGTAATTTAATTACATTTCCAAGTCTCCTCTGTCAAAACTTACCCAATTGGTGGCGAATCAGCAGTTGCTAACATACCCGCTGCTTATCATTCCACCGCACTGAATTATATCCTGCCTTTGTCGCTTCTGCTCAATATCTTGTGTGATAAAGCTAAAACATCTCTGAAACAGTGATGATCAATCCGAGATCACATCACATTTACCAAAATACCATAAGTAATTTAGTTCAGAAGTAAAGATTGCGACTTTCATCGTGAACTGAGATGTTGGTCTTCATATCCTTAGTTCTAGTCATAAAGAAATAAATAACTCAGCAATCGTTTCTGTCTCCTTATTGCCTAAGTGGTTAGGATATCAGGGTTGTTCAGCGGTGTACTTAGACCATACAGAGCGTTTTCCAATAGCTCATTTAAAATTGACGACGAACTACGTACTCGTTTAACTGATAGTTCCCACTGTTGAAACCTAATAAGTGACTAAGTGTTTTTCAACTCATTATGGGTTCTAACCCTAACCGAGTCATAAATCTGTATAAACGCTAATTGATGGCGTAAGTCTACTGCGTAGGTGGTCAATTTCCCTTAGTGATGGCTCAAAATGCATCACAACAATGCGGACGGGTCGGATGAATCTGCAACATTAAATTATTCATTTTGGATTCACCATTCCCTTTATTTATCCTCGTTTTTGTCTTTTTGTATAGTGTATATATTTGTCCTTTTTCTTTTTTCAGAATGAATAAAAATGGAGAGTACCATTTGGTCATTTTGTGTCCCGATCTATCCCATTAATTTCAGTCAGTTGACCCGTTCTTTACTTCAATATGTTAGTTCGTCTGTTAACAAGTTCATCCCTGACCTAAAGGGTATCCTTGTGGATTTTGACGCAAAAAGTTTACAAATCATAACTGAAGTTGATTATTCTGATCGTTATGTCCCCACTGGCTTCACTTGTGGTCTTTTCCTGATTCATCCAGAGTTAAACCATCTTCGTGTACACGGGAAGATAAAGGTCAATATTTTTCGCCCATATTTAGGTTTGGAAGTAGATGCGATTGTTTCAGTGGTTAGACCACAATTTATTCTTTGCCGTACAGAAATTTCGAATGTAATGATTAGTCTTCCACGTTTATCTTCGGAGTCAGTAAAAAAAGAAGAATTCAGCCAGTCCATTTTAAAACCTTTTGACAAAATAAGAGTTAAATTGACTCAAATTGATAACAATTTTGGCTCTCCAATTTTACAAGGTGAATTTATGGAGTGTCTTTCGAAACCCTTATCAAAATCTTCCGAGCAACAGCATAAACATCAAACAAATTCTGCTGGCACTGATATGAGTGATATAAAACCAGTAATAAAAGTCTCTGATGATACTGATAGTTATCAGACTACTTTGTCATTTCATGAAAATTCTTCTGATCCAGTCACTTTTCCGACTAATTCATCTGACCATAAAACACCAAAAGTTAGGAAATCAAAGATTTGGAAACTTGAAGAATCATTACAAGAAGTTGGAGTCCTCGATAATTGTAGTGCAAGTCTATTAACTCATGATGAGTCGCCAGCTGGTTCAGTGAAGAGATTACGAAAGGAGAACTCATCCACTTCCAAAGTATTAAAAATGAAAGGTAATTCAGATTCAGAAGAGATTATCCCTGCTTTATTAAATGATGCACTGTTAAAATGTGGTAGAAAATATAGGTCAAACCATAATCTATTATCTTCTGTAACTGTAAAAGAGGAACCAACTTGATCTTTTTCCAATAAATGTGCTGTAAACGCATACATAGTTATTACTTTCCATATTTTTCATTTATAATGTATAAATAAATGATTATTTTGGAGTTTTGTTAAGTTTCTAGATCAATCTTTGAAATTATTTTGTACAACAGTTTCATTGACGATAAAGCATTTCAGTAGTTTAGTGTTTGGTAAATTCCTGCCACTTTCTAATATATACAGATAAACGTGCTTCTGATTACCACAGTTTGTATGATGTCCTTCCGATAAATGGAAGCCGAATGGTCATCGAAAACGTTTTAGAATCCCTTTTCTATTGTACCGCTACCTTTCTCTAAAGGTTTATCACTAAGTATGGTCTGTGATCAATATTCATAATAACTATCTAGGATGCTTAAATAACTACCAATCATAGTCTTATGTCAGTGCATTCTCTATAGGTTCAAGCTAGATACGTTTTCTATAGGTTTCTCTTTTCTAGTCATCTTGAACTTTCAGTTTGTGTGCAAATTTTTGTCTGATATATTTAGTTTTCAAACATAGTACCAAAGAATTTTCGAAAACCAAGTAGTTTCGGCGAAGTTGGTTGTATTTACCGACACTGAATAGCTCATAATTCTGGGCTTGGTCAGTATCAATAATAGTGTCATGCCGTAATATGTGTTCGGTCAGTTTTCTGTGAATATAATCTCTTAAATTTTAACGTCAATAAAAACGCGTATGAACTTTTTAGTTTTATTTTTCTTGGATTAATTCGGGCGTAGTTGTATGCTTGATGAAACTAAGATTTCAAGTAAATGCTCTGAGGAGAGTATTAGTTTTCAAGAGATATCTTTGGAAATCTAACGAAAATATAGTCACGTCTATAATCTAAAAAAGTTAGTCTTACTACTTTTGAATATCAGCAGCAGGCTATTCAACTTGAAAAATGCGTCTTTTTGTTACCTCCAGGTCAAAGTGTTTTGTTTTATATTTAAATTTCGTAGTGGCTGAAAATAGGTTACGTCTGAAGAACTAGATAAAAGTGAATGCGATTATCTATCCACTTATCTTGCTTGGCAGAATGACCATCTAAATGTGACTTTTTTCCCACCCCTGTTTGCTGATTGTAGTCTTTTACCTTGAAGTGTTCTTAACTTTTAGAAAAATACTAGGTAGATTCCCCTAAACTTATTGTTCACATTGGTCGAACCCAGATTTATGGACACCCAGATGATAACTACGGACGAACCGAGTTATGTTTTGGTTCTTTTATGGCATTTACGTATATGACGTACCAATCTCCTAATTGCGGCTCACATTGGATTGTCGGAGTTTCTTACATAATGCTAGTGAGAAATGGTCTATATCATACAGAAGCCTTTGAGAAGAACATATTAAGAGTATGAGCGGTAATAAGAGGCTGTGTTAATATAGCTGTTGCGATTGCGGAACAGATATATCATGTATCATTTTGAATTGATCCATTCACAGGTGTTACAAAATTCAAACATACAAACAGTTAGTAGTAGAGTATGTACTCACGTATCCGTTGATTTAAATATCCCGTTAGTTGACAACTTCAAAGAGATTAGTGAGTTGGTTAGGTCCTCAAAACTAACTTTGACTATCTCACAGAGTCCCAAACTGCTCCTTAATTGTATTCTTACGAAATTTTCAGTTTACTGATTAGAATACAGTAAAATGATTTATTGTAAAATGTACTTGAGATTGCTAGAGAATTGAAAATATGCCTGCTTTAAGCCAGGTTACTACAAATTGTTTGAACAATTTAATCTTTTCATCCATCAAAACTTGGTACTCAGTACCTTTCTGATAAGCAACTTTAGGATCAAAGCAATAAGCCCATTTGTAGCATTATTTTTGAACAATAATAATTTACGCTGTTGAGGACAGACTTATTTGGCGAATTTAGCATGAGATTGCTAGCATGATTTATAAACGGAACTAGGTTCCAATTGCATTCTGTAAGTTAACCCTTGAACAACTTGTGAGACATCGTTCGTTAAGCGAAAAGAGATGACAAATCATGCATGGATTTGTGATTTTATAGTCTCTAGATTTGATTTTCGATCGTTAAGTCGTGTGTATTTATTCTTATTCTTACGTAGTGAATTTTCGTAATTAACCGATTACAAAATCCCTAGATCTAACCTTCCCGACCGTTGTTGCTACCTTGACGTGGTGGTCGGGCTTGCCTATCGTGATGAAGCAACCGAGCTATACTGGCTGGAACAACCGTTCCTCAAGGTCCTACCATGTCAGACAGGTCGGTTGAAGAGCGGTAAGACTAAAAGCAACAAACCCAAGGTCCGAAGGCGAAGTCGTACTGCTGACTGTACAGAGGTGTGACAGCAGTAAGGTGTTTCCTTCAGACAACCAGCATGACAGCGATGCTGCCTTCCCACAAGGAGGGGTGGGGTTAGAAAAGGTCGACCCTAAAAATGCACACCTCACCTTACCCACGGATTTCCGTCTCCGGCGGTAAGGCCCTTTGAAGAACGGAGCTAACACGTCGAAAACCTTCCACGAAAAGGCCGTGCGCGACCGGCCTCAAGCAGTTGTCCCTTGGGCACTGCGGTCACGCTCTCAGGTCACTGAGACCACCTCTAATCCAATTTCCTTTTCAGGTACCTCCAGAAGAACCCTTCCACGGTGTGGGCAACCGGGAAGTGATAACCGCCCTCATACCTCTAACAGCACTCAAGACCACTGTATTCATAATCAACCTTCCTCTTCAATTCCTATTATTCCTCCTACATCGACTTTCAACCCTAAACTTCCTTCTTTGGCTTCCTCCTCAAGTGTCACCATAGCCAACGATTCTAGTGCTCAAAACTCTGTCCCAGGTCTACTGAAACCTCGCTCCAAACTACACATTGGAGCCTTCAACGTACGCACCCTATGTCAAATCGGTCAGCAGGCTTCCTTGGCTAAAACCCTAGAGTCTCTTTCCATTGATGTATGCTGTGTCTCCGAAACACGCATACAGGATCCCAGTGTGGTCATTCACTTGACCTCACCTCGGCAGAACGGAGAGCCAACGAGATACACCCTTCGTGTATCTGGTGACCCGATGGCCAGTTCTCGTGGACTGGCAGGTGTAGGCATAGCACTAAGCATGAGGGCCGAACAAGCACTGCTAGAGTGGATCCCCGTCAACAGTCGTCTATGTGCTGTTCGGCTGAACGGCTACGTAAGAACTCGGAAGGATAGGGACACACGTCGTTGCCTTTTTGTCGTTTCTGCCTACGCTCCCACTGACTGCAGCTCAGATGAAGTGAAAGATGAATTTTACAGAAAGCTTCCGAACTTCTTCAGAAAGCTAAACGCTCAGACATAGTACTCGTAGCAGGTGATTTTAATGCTCAGATAGGTAGCTTAAACCAAACAGAAAGGCATTTAGGTGGATATTTTAGTATTCCGACACAGCGAACAGATAATGGTGATCGTCTGCTGCAGCTATGCTCAGACAATCGTTTATTTTTAGCAAACACAAATTTTAAGCATAAGGAGAGACATCGTCTAACATGGCGACCCCCTACACCAAACCAACGATGGACTCAAATAGACCATATTGCCATCAGTCATCGTTGGAGAGGGTCGGTAGAAGATTGTCGCTCATTCTGGAGTACCTGCTTGGACTCCGACCATGCCCTAATACGGGCACGCATCTGCTTGCGCCTCACTGGACGCAAAAAAGCCACATTAAAAAGACCCGTTAGAACTGAGTTGAGTAACGAGAAAACCAAAAGTAGGTTCCAGGAACAACTGAGGTCACACTTAGGTAGTTGTGAAGACGAGGCTGACCCAGATGTTGCTTGGAAGGGCATACAATCAGCTGTGGAAACAGCAGTGACATCTATTAGTGACTTAAACCACAGAGTTACAAGGAACCAGTGGATTTCTTCAAGGTCTGTCACACTGATGGATTCTCGCAAACTCGTCCCATCAGGTTCCGAACATGATGAAGAGCGACAACAAATCAGATCTAGGTTAAGAAAAAGTCTAAGGAACGACCGTGAGCAGTGGTGGGTAACGAAAGCAAAAGAGATGGAAAAGGCGGCGACTATAGGGAACACAAGACAGCTTTACAGACTAATAAAAGAAACTGGAATTAATAAGTCAAGTGTAAGTGAGATTATTTCGGAAAAAGATGATACTCTCATCTGCTCCCAGTCCAGACGTTTAGAACGATGGGCGGAACATTTTAGAGAACAGTTCAGCTGGCCTTCAGCTACTCTACAACTACCCTCCATTCCCAGACAATGTGAATGGAACATTGAAGTAGGTCCCCCAACTCTTGCTGAAGTTCAAAAGGCTATAGTTAATCTGAAACGAGGAAGGGCAGCTGGTCCAGATGGATTGGCTCCAGAGGTCTTTAAGGATGGTGGTCCAATTTTAGCGATTAGGTTGACTAATATTTTAGCTAAGATCTGGGAATTAGACTTTATCCCATCTGACTGGTCGCAATCACTTATCGTCCCAATATATAAGAAAGGGTCAAAATCATCCTGTGACAACCACAGAGGGATTAGTTTAACAAACATAGTATCTAAAATACTGGCCTCGATAATTATCAGACGCCTAACTAAGACTCGTGAACTACAAACACGAGAGAACCAAGCTGGCTTTAGACCTGGTCGTGGCTGCATCGACCACATATTCACCATTCGTCAGGTTCTAGAACACAGGCATACCTATCGGCGTCCGACGATGGTGGTCTTTCTTGACTTAAAAGCAGCATTTGACTCTGTAGACCGCGAGACTCTGTGGCAGTGTCTGTCATTGAAAGGCGTACCTCAGAAGTACATAAACCTTGTGAAGGCTCTTTACTCGAACACTACTAGTCGAGTCAGGGCTTATGGCGAACTGTCATCTACTTTTGCAACCTCAAGTGGTGTCCGTCAAGGCTGTCCACTTTCTCCATTTTTGTTTAACTTCATCATAGACCTATTGATGGAAATAACACTCTCGTCGACTGAATTCTCGGGTATTGATCTCCTTCCAGGA